CCGCGACTGCCGGGGCACACGGCCGGCGGCCTGCCCTCACGCCCTGCCTCCCTCTCTCTCTCTCCGCAGCCAACCTGGCCCTGCGCAGGAAGCTCCACCGGCACGGCTGCTCCCACCGGCGCTGCATGCCGCTCCACTCCAGGGTGCCCTTCCCCTGAGCCCCCGGGGGAGCGTGGGCGAGGTAATTCGCGCGTGTCGGGTAGTAACGCCAGGAGGGCGTAATTACCCTCGCCTCCCTGCAAGGTTTCTCCAGAGGAGCTGTGCGGGTTGCAGCTGGGCGCGCTCTCCGCAGCAAGCACGTTTCCTAATTTACACCTGCGTTTCGGAACGGTTTGAGAGGCATTTGACGAAGCAAGCCAAACCGCAGGTGTGACTTCATCTGGTCTCCGCTGGTTTGTTCCGAAAACAGGGCTTTGGACAGGCGCACGGTGGGACGCGGGGCGGTCGCCTCCCCCTGAGCCCCCCGGCGGGCACCCAGCTTCGCACGGGGCGCGGGTGTCGCTTGCCGCCGCCTCCGCGTTATCCCCACGCAGGCCACCGCTCCCCGCCCAAATGCCTTCGCTGAGGCAGAGTGGGAAACTCCTGGGTCTGCTAAATAGGACGAACTACTGCCCTGCTAACGTGTAAGAGTACCGGCAAAGCTGCGGGGCGAGCGGTGTAATGAGTGTAGAAGCGGCGCTGAGCGGCAGCTGGAGAGGATGCTCCGGGACTTCAGCACCCACACTTCTTTCGTGCTGGATGCGGGGCCAAGTCGCCTCGCTCTGCCTGTCAGTAACATGAAGGTAGTAGCGTTTACCCACTTCAAAGGGGACTGTAATTCTTAATCGTTGTCAGCAAAAGACTTTGAGCTCCTTGGATGAAAGGCTATACAAGTGCAAAGCATTAATGCTTTATGGCTGATGGGGCATATACATTCAAATACTAAGTGACTGCAGAAGCACACAGGTAGCATATGCAAATAGGGTAGGCATCAAAAGGAAACCAAGGCGCTCTTGCAATTTACGGATGAATAAAACATGCAGTCAGTAGTTTCACATCTTCTAAACTCATTGTATATTCAAATAATGTTGTAGCCCCAGGTATAAATAAATGATGGCAGGACCTCCACTCTGTGGACCCAAGGTGTTCTGATTTACTCAGCGGTTAACAGTGAAAAGGAGACGAAAGTCAAACTTTTAACAACCCTATAGCAAGAATCTTGTCAATGCATAGGCTGCCTTGGTGAAGAGAGCCTACACCACTCCCAAAACAGCCACGCAAAAAGGTACCGTTCCACTCTACAGCGCTGGCCTATAAACACGTGGAATGTGCATATGAGATGGTGAACTGGCAAGTTTGCGAGGCTGAAAAAAGATTATCGTATCTTAAGTTTAATCTCAGGCAGGCTGCATACTGAGTGGCAGAATTGAGCTGCAAGTACAGAGAGGGACATGCCAGGAGGATGCTTTACTACTGAATGCCGTGTCTCCTCACTGCGTTCATTTCAATAAGAGGCAGATTAAGTGAGATTCCCTCATCAGTTTAAGCATAAACCTAAAAAGATAAGCAATCGGATCAATTCACTGAGCACGCAGAGACTGAATGACAGGGACAGTGGAATTTAGGTCCAGAGACTTCTGGAATCGCTTCTGAATAGCTTGCTTCAGTTCCTAAGAAAAGTAAATTTAACCCCCTTTCCTCCAGTTCAGCATCCATAATCTGGAGATTGTCTGTGCAAAAAGCATCTACATTTTCTCTAACATGCTCCGAAACAGTACATAATGCATTTTGCTTGAGACTGCACAATACACGTGCACTTAGACTGGAATAATTTGCCCTACAGAATATCAAGACAAAAGCTATTTTCAGTGTTATTTCCTTTTATGTGGGGAGCCTATTTCTTGTAATGAGTCAATGATGAAGCAAAACAGTGTACTTATTAATTCATAATATATTTTCTAGACATTTAGCTACAGAGAATTCTGCTTCATAAAGCTGTTTAGAAATCCGTAAAACTTGACTGGGGAGTAAGGGGTGACAGGCACCTGAACCAACTCGAGTCATCATTGTGGGTGCTCAGCTCCTTTATCTTAAGTAGAATTTACCATCTACGTTTACATTCCCTTCTAGTTTTAGTCCTAATTCAGCAAATATTTACATGCCTGGGTAACTTGACTCATGTGAGTAATCTTACTGATCTCAATGGAGTTGTACATATGGATAAAGCTATTTGCAGATGCAAACAGGATGGACCCTTAAGCCTGAATTTCAACAGGTGGTTGGAAACTGGGATGAACATAGCAGCATTCTTTTTCACAACAATATTTGAAACGACGAGGGGATTGAACTTGATTTTTCACCAGTTACGTAGGCAAAACATGGGACAAAAAGAAGTGGAAAATACCCTTATATTAGAGGCCTTCTTGCTTTTGGCTTTTTGATTGTTTTTTCTTAACCTTTTTAGCTGAAGTTTCCAAATTAAGAAACATTATCCCAAATTTCAACCATGTATTTCATACATAATATATTCTCTTTTGTATGAGACAGTTTATTAAATCTCTCATTAATGGCTATTTCTCTCCTTTTTTTCACAGCAATTTCATAATGGGCTTTCCAGTGTTCTAAAGGAGCAACAATTAAACCGATGGAGAAGTTAGAAGTCCAGATGGACAACAGCTGACCTGACAGAGCCACCACAGTCCCATCTTCAGCGGTCCTGCCTGTCACATTCTGCGAGACCTGGAACAAAGGTCCCTGGCTCACATCCTAGGAAGCGGAGGGAAGAAACGGAGGGTGGTGATGGGTCATAATGACCAGTGAAAGTTAAAGACCGAATCAAACATCAGGTACCTGAGATGGATTTCCAGTGGCATTAAGAAGGATCTGTCCAAGGGGACTCTTAATGGTCTGTACTATTCAGACGGAGAGAAATTGGACGTGCTGTTAAATACTCAATTCAGGCTGTGCGCAGGGCAGTATTTAGGGTGAAATAATGTCAGACTCTGGCACAGAACTGTGAAAGTCCGTTTTTTGTTTATACTTTCATATATTAATAATATATACATTTATGTTTTAATACCTAATGTTGCATCTTTATGGAATTACCTTAATAATAACGTAGAATGTATTACTGTAACAGTACCAAAGTCAGCACCACACTGGTGGTCCTACTGGCTTCATGTATAGTAAGCGTAGTAAGAGTTTACAATATAAGAAAGCAAAGGGAGTATTATCCCTCATTCTATAGATAGAGAATTGCAGCACACAGAGATAAGAGATTAGCCAAGGGTCACACAAAACTGATAACTCAGATCTCTCAAGTCAGGCCTTAAGGTCAAGCCCATCCTCCTGTCTAATGAGCTGTTACTGCAAAGCCTATGATTTGTTTTCTTAAACTGGGCTGCCAAACCAGACAGCTAAAACATACTTGAAAATTCAGTACTGTAGAACTATTTGCTTAATAGTAGTCTTCCCGCTGCAGTATTGTAAATAGAGCATAAAAATAGACCATTGAAAAGAAACCTTTGTTTGGTCAACCCCAGTGTTGCGTAGTACTCTATTCCTGTAATTTAAATGAATGGGATATTTGGAACATGCCACTACAATGAATGAGAACTTCAAACAGAAAACAGGCTGTTCTTTTCTGCACTGGAGGTCAAGAATACATTGAGCCCTTATTTTACTTTTTGTCTTTAAAAATATATGCTTCACATCTCCTTTTTATATCGGCAGAAATTACAAACCTACATGTAAAGCAAAACACGGGAGCCCTTTCATTAGCAGAACTAAAACAAACCTGAAAATAAGTCATACCCAGATTTTTAGGTCACTGCACTAGTCTTGAAATGTCAAAAATTTTTTGTAAATTGCGTAAAGATGACGGAAGATTAGCAGTGTCACAAATCCAGTATTAGAATTCTGTCCTGCAACACATCGTTTCTAATAAGTAAAAGAACAGTGATCAAGAAAACAATTAAAATTTAACATCACACCCTATTCTGGAGCTTTGGAGAATCATCGGTGCCATAAAAAGATCGTCATACTTGTCTATACCAACAAACAGCCCTGCAGCAAACCTTTGAAGTTTTGAAAAAAGCAGTTTTCCAAAATCAGAGGCATACTACCACTAATTTTATTTTTTTAATTATTTATTTGACTTAGCTTTCAGATGTATCCAAGGCTATCTCTGTTAAAAAGTACAGACAAAGAGTATGGGAAAGCAAGAAAGGTGACGAGTAACTATTTAACAGTTATGTCTTATAAATAAGTATATGGATTTAGTGTGGCACTGGATATTTTATATAGCCAGAATTATTCAATTAACTTTGATAAAATTGTAAGAAAAACATAATGTATCTATCAGAGAGCTATATATGCATGTTCCCTTAGAGGTGTACAAAATGAATAAAACAAGTACCAAAGTGCCTAGGAAGCCCGTTGTCAGTCTACAAAAATTACTGTAAATGTCTGTTCTTTTTAGACACGCTGATACCATAAAATCTTCTTTAAAAAGGCATCAATTGTGATCTTTGATAGATACGTTTATGAACTAGCTGGTTGATTGTATATTTTGTAAAAAGATAGTATGCACTTCAAATAACAATATCTCATTTTAAATAAACTTTGTACGCTTTTCAAAATATATATTCTTCAGCTGTCAAAGGCAATGAATCTAAAGAAAATGGAGAATTTGTCTCGTTTCCTGTGGATTCATACGAGATCACCGTGTAAAACTTTTTCTTACTCAATTTCTGACACAAATAAATAGTAGTTATTCATGTAAACATTTTCCTTACATTTTCTATCTTTCTACAAATACGAAATTCTGATAAAAGCCATATAGAAAGAACTTAGTTTAAAACTACTGGTTGGTGTAACCACAGCATGCTCTAACACGACATCATGATACCTTGATAGGATTACAGCAGAACCCAGACTATGCATTGTCTTCGTGCCTAGGATAAGCAAGATTTTAAATTCTTTCAGAGTGGTAGGTCATGAAATCTGAATGTTCTCACAGATTAAACAAAACAGTCTTTCCTTATTTCAGGTCAAAAAACAAGTTCAGAAGTAGTCTGAAGTGTAGCAGAAGCTAAAGCGTGCGGTAACTTCTCCCATTAAAGACTGGGTACTATAAACTTCTAAGAGCTAGATGTCTTGCACAGTAGAATTGGAGAGC